CGCATGTTACTCAGCTAGCACAGGAGGGGTACAGCACAACTCCGGAATTCTGCAAAACTCCCCCCTTCTCCCCCTTCTCGTTGCGTACAGCACCGGTTTCTTGCACGACACGCACGCACACTGCGCACCAAGCCACCAAAAATTCACCACCCCCCATTTCCTGTATGGGCAACATTGCCCGATTTTTTTGGCACGTCGCCAACTGCTTCTTGTCTCTGGCGATACGAAATAGTGTTGCCAGAGATGGCAGACGCCTCACTGAGGCGCAAAACGCACCGGCCGAGCCGAGCCGAGTTTTAGTAGTTGCCCGAAATTCGTGCACGCACTGGCATAACGAGAAGCACAAAGTTCTTGCCATGGTCAGACAATTCGGATTGCCAACCTTCTTCCTTACTATTTCAGCAGCTGAGACTCACTGGCCTGAATTTCTGCAAATTCTAAAACAAGTTATAGACAATGTATCCATCAGCTCCGATGACGCAATGACCCTGCCCTATGTAGAAAAATCGCGATTGATCCAGTTCGATCCAATCACTTGTGCTCGGTATTTCGACTACCGCTACAAGGAGCAAACAAAACTTTGGAGTCTGGTTGGCGGACCACTCGGGGGGAAAAGCATAACACACTCCTACTATAGAGTGGAGTTTCAGCAACGTGGATCTCCCCATATACATTAGCTGCTCTGGATTCAGGAAGCACCTGTTTACGACGCGCTCACTGGATCAAACGAGCGAGAAGTATGCAACTACATCGACAGCATTGTTGCATGCACTTCCATCATGAACGATGTGCCGTCGCACGAACCACAGGCTAATCCATACTACCTTCAATTCCAGCACCATAGGCACGGTCGCACATGCCGGAAAAGTGAATCAGCAAAATGTAGATTCGGAATTCCATTTTATCCCATGTACGAGACCCGCATTTTGCAGCCCCTGTCGGAGACGGTCGGCGCACGGGAGCGTCAACGTCTTGCCAGACAGCTACAACAAATAAAAAATCTACTGAACGAAAACGAAAATCTGGGCAATCTCAGTTTCGACGAGTTTCTCGCGTTGTGCCAAATGTCTGAGGACGAATACCTCTTAGCAGTGAGATCCGAGCTACGAAAGTGCAAGGTGATTTTGCGCCGAACCCCTGCAGACGTATTCGTCAATCCCTATTCGCCCAAAATCCTATCAACAGTGCGGTCCAACATGGATCTACAGTATGTGCTTGATCCGTATGTATGTGCCTCATACATTATCGATTACATCAACAAAACGGACAGAGGAGTAAGCGGTACGATTGAAGACATCGTGAAGGAGCTACGGAAAGGCAACAGCAGTTACGACAAGCCATGCAAAGCATAGGCACAGCCCACTACAATACTACAGAGATTTCAGCTCAGGAAGCGGCCTACAACATTCTTCAAATTCCATTGTCGCAGTGCACCGAAAAGGTAATATTCATCCAGACATCATTACCAGACGAACGAGTACGGGTTGTAAGACCACAGCAAGAGCTCCGCACTCTTGACCCAACTTCCGATGATTGCTTCGTGCACAGAGTTATCGAGCACTATACCAAACGATCAGCCGAACTGGAACGAATCTCACTGGCTGATTTCGCTGCGTACTACAACTACTACAAAACCAGACCGCGAACAGCCCGGCACAGTGCTGCATCGGTTGATGAAGATGTGGACAGCACTGACGAAATTGAAGAGATTCCTGGGCAACAACACTACACTGAACTTATGGATAGCGCAGGATACATCAGAAAGCGCTCGAAACCAAAGGTCGTCCGCTACCGAATGTATAACGTCCAGACTGAGCCCTACCATTTCTACAGGGAGCTGGTGATGCTCTATTACCCATGGCGAAACGAGGAAGCGGAAATTATAAATGCCGACTGCGAAGCACTGTTCCACATGCATCGTGATGAAATCATGCAGAACAGGGGGAAGTACCACTACTTTCCAAGCAGCGTGCTGGAGGATGTCATGGAACAAGCGCAGAACGATGCGCAAGCTCGAGAAGCAGACATCGAGAGAGATCCCACAGCACCAACATTTGATTTCGACAGCGACTACGTTAGGTGAGCAGGAAGCAGTTCATACTGAAGACGGGCAGTATGAAAGAATTCAGTACGCAGAGCACTTTCAATTACCAAATCAACTGGCGCAGGAGGAATTTGAAGATATGCTCCAGTCGCTGAATTCAGAACAGAGAAACTACGTAATGCATATTGCCGCACACTTCAAACGCAGCAATGAGCCCCTATATCATTTCATAACGGGTGGAGCAGGAGTAGGGAAAAGTGTTTTGATTCGAGCAATATATCAAATCCTACTTCGTATTTTCTCACAACGTTTGGAATTGAATTGAATCCGGACTTCCCATCTGTTCTTCTAGCCGCTCCAACAGGAAAAGCATCATTCAGTATTCGGGGTCTCACACTACATGCCCTATTCCAACTTCCAGTCAACTCCAACACTCTTACTGCGCTTTCCGCTGATGTGTCCAACACAATGGCTACCAGACTGAAGTGCCTGCAAGTAATCATTATAGATGAGATGTCTATGGTAGGTGAGTCCATGCTGCGAATGGTGGATATGCGCCTACGCCACTTGTTTGGAGATGTTGAATTTGGAGGCAAAAGTGCTATTGCTGTTGGCGGCTTTCACCAGTTACGACCAGTGATGGTAGCACCAGTATACGGGAGCACATCCCGCAACCCATATGTAGAAGCGTTTGCAAGATCGTTATGGCACTTATTCCAAGTACACAGACTTCACACAATGATGCGCCAGAACGAGGCTGAATTCAAGCCAGCGCTAACAAATTTGGCACACGGACAACTAACACCATCGGATATGGCACTGTTTCATTCCTGCACTTTTTCCGAAGTTCCACAGGAAGCCATTGATCGGAGACCTGTGTTTCTGTTTCCAAGAAATGCACAAGTGGACGAATAGAGCGAAAAAGTGTTAAGAAACATGTCTGGATATGAAA